GGCCCCTTCCCCTCATTTCGCATGTGGTGCGCTGTTCCTCGGCCAGACTGCTTCAGCCTCGTCTAGCAGCAGTACCGGGATATGTGAGGAACATCTATTGCAGTAGTTGTCACGGACTGGTGCAACGGCGAACCAAACATACGCGGTGGAATTGTCTTGAACTGCGTAGATTAAGGGATTAACGCGAGTGGAAGCTTTTGTAAGTGTTTATGTTTGTCTACGTTCGTGGGTCCGCGGGTGCGCTCGCGAAACAGCGGACTCGTTATGGTGGTCTTGGGGTGGAAATGTTTGGTGGGTGTTGCAGTAGTGGATCTAGTGTGGTTAGATCCTCATGCAGTGTTTATGTAGTTTGGTGCGAGTATGAGGGTGAGAGTTATGGTGTAGAATCGTCTCATGTAGATTTTTGGGTTTTATATAATAGCAATAAAGTATGATTATTGGTGGGATTCCTGCTTTTTGATTACATATTTGTTTGCCCTTAACTTTCCTTTCCGCCCTGCGCTTAAATAATATGATACTAGCGTTTGAGGACTCAATGTAATTACATGGAAGTGCCAGGATATGATAGATGACAAATGAGTGATATGGTAAATAATGTATGATTTTCGTATTTGAACTTGTCATGAATTGGTAAACAGCCATAGCAAAACTGGCTTAAATGCGTATGTCCATTTCATATCTTTGTGTACATATACTGTGTTTGTGTTTATGTATATTTCTATCATCTAAAAAGCACACGAATTATAAAAGCACCACTGCATTCTACCCTCCACCACCTTTCTCCCCCCACCCAACCCACCAAACCCACCAGACTCCCCCTGCCCACCAGCCCCAAGATCAATCCCCAACCCACTAGACCTGTCTCACCCCCAAACCACACCAACCCCCCAAACCCCACCACCAAACCCACCCAAACCCCCCTACACCACACAAGCAACAACCCAACCCACCCAACCACCACCAATCCCAACCACCACCACCTCAAACCGCACCCAAACCCACTCACCTCCAACCCCCCAACCTACCCAAACCCACCCAAAACCCCCCAAAACCTCCCCACCTCCCCTCTCCACCCCTGAAACTCCCAACCCTCCAACCCCTCTCCACCCACCCCTCTCCACCCCCAAAAACCCCACCCCACCACCCCCACACACCACACCTGATCGAGAAGTTCGCCAATCATTCCATTCCACTTCTGCAGCTTCTGGTCGAACTTCCCGTGGTTGCTGTCGTCGGCCAACTTCAGCGTGTAGTTGAAGCCAATGATCTCCGAGATTTCGTGGATGAGGTCGACGCAGAAGCCCTCGTAGCGGTCATTTCCTGTCATCTGTTCGGAGGTTTCCCTGAGCATCGTGTACGGGGAAGCCTGCGGGGGAGAGATAACGTGGGCGATGGCTAAGCGGTTTGATATTGATAAGGATATTCGTAATGGTAAAATTGATAAGCGTAATAATAAAAATCATAACGTTGATAATGATGATAATAATAATGGCAATGGGAAAAATGATAATGTTAATAATGATAATGGTAATGTTGATAATGATGATAATGATAATGACAATAATAGAAATGATAATGTTGATAATGATAAAGATAATCGTAATGACACAAATGATAATTTGATAAGTGATAAGGATAATCGTAATGACAAAATTATATTTTGATAAATGAGATAATGATAATGTCGTAATGATAATGAATGATAATATTGATAATGATGATAAGGATAATGGTAATGGTAAAAATGATAATGTTGATAATGATAATGGTGATAATAAAAATGATAATGGTGATAATAAAAATGATAATGTTGATAATGATGATGATAATGATAATGGTGATAATAAAAATGATAATGTTGATAATGATGATAATGAAATGGTGATAATAAAAATGAAATGTGATAATGATGATAATGATAATGGTGATAATAAAAATGATAATGTTGATAATGATGGAAATGATAATGTGCATGGATAAAAATGGATAATGGTTGGATAATGATGATAATGATAATGGTGATAATAAAATTGATAATTGTTAATAATGATGGATAATGTTAATGGTAGGGGAATGGATATAATAAAAATTATAATGATATAATATAAGGATAATAATAAGGATGACAATAACTATGATAACAATAATAATGATAATATCAGTGATGATGATATAATGATAATGATATAATGTTAATAATGACGATAATGATGATGATAATAACAATAATGATAATGATAGTAATGATCATATGATGATGATGGTGATGATCACATAGATACTAATAATGATGATAATTATTTAACATAATGGCGATAGTAATAGCATTGATAAAGAACATCATCATCATCATCATCATTGCACTAATAAGAATAATAATAATGATAATAATAATGGTAATGATAATGATAATATAATAATAAGAATAAGATAATATAATGATGAATGATAATAATAATAATAATAATAATAATAATAATAATAATAATAATAATAATAA